CAGTATCACTTTATAAAGGCTGGGTTTCCTCCACGGGCTCTCCCGGCTCTAGGATCGATCTATTCTTTATGAAAAATTACTATTCATCAGCCGGATTCGAACCAAGGAAATTGAGCTTTGGAAGTCAGTGCTCACCCACTGAGCTACCCCTCCCCCTGATCAAGTTAATATAGAATTTATATTTTATATATATGTGTGTGAGTGTGTGTGTAAATTGCCTTTAAGGTACTTTCAAGAACGTCCAAGGGGTAGACCGAAGCGAAGTTGGAAGTTGCGTTATAGCCGATCTGAAGGGACTGGGTTTGGACGGCGAACGATGGAGAGAGGTGTGCAATAAGCGATAAGTGGTGTCGGCATCGAACCTTCGGGTTTGCTAAACCTATTTTTCTTATTCTTAAGTTACTATATCATTCTAGAACTAACAGATAAAAATACCGAATAATTAATTTTTACTTATTTGCTGACATAATGGACCAAAACATTCAATATATTTGTTTCTTAACCATCATAGAATGTATGTATTTGTGCAAAGTTGTTTTTTTGGGTTTAAACTAAAAACTACTGATGGTTATCATTGCCCTCAAAATTACACTAATTGATTCATTTTTCAATCTTAAAACTACTATTATAAAAGTAAAAATATTTTAAACAGGAATAATATAAAAGACATATATAAATTACTATAGAAGATAGAGTAAATAGAAATTAAGTCATGATATCGTCGGCACCATGTTAAAATAATGAATTTTGCTATGTTAACTAAGCTCATATTCGTTACTTTATCACGCCCGACGTTATCACATATTTGTGAGAAAAAAAATAGTTTAATCCAGATTAGTTGAATTAGCCCTATGTTGTTAATGGAATTCAGAGTGAATGCAGGTTAGTGGACAATTGACATTTTTCTATTAAGAGTTTTAACAAAATAATAACTACAAGTATGAAGATAAGATCACAATCTTACCAATTTCGTTTTAGCTCATTTCATAAATTGTTATAAAACCGGTTTAAAAATCATAAATTTTGTGGGAAATAAATTATACGAATTAATTACTTACCTTAATAAATCCGTTTCGAATTTTAAAATCCGATATTATCCAGTGCAATCCATATTTTATTGATATCAATGAGACAAATCTTGTAAACAATTGAGATTCTCATATAACCTCACTGCATATAACCTTTCACCATGCGTTATCTTTAAGTCAGGTTCTCACAGTGATAAAATATCGATTATAATAAAATAAATTTGTACTTCATTGGATGAAACTAAATATTCAGATATTTCAGTCATAATAATTTTATTGAGTTAGCCGACTTTTGGACTCAAACAGGTAGGTCGTCCTCAGGACTATCGTTGGAAGTCGAGATAAGAACTGCCCATGTTTGGGTCGATACTTGGGATAACCTTATAAAAATATCTGACTGAAATTAGTTGTTTATTTTATGAAAATGACGATACTAATTTATTTTACAACCTTATACTTTATATTTAAAGTCTATAATTCGATGGCTGAACTGAAGTTCCCTAAAAAACTAATCCGCCTAGAACAGTAGGAAAACTATAACTCTTATGGTGCTTAACTTTAAAGGTTTTATTGCTGTTTGTGCTAATATATATATATATACTAGTAGGCTCTTGCGAAAAATTCGCACAGCATATTGTTATCAAATGCCCAATTAATAATAAAATAAAATAATGTAACCTATCAAAAGATAAAGAAATCAAACGTTACTTTATCGATAAATATAATTGACAAATAAAACAAAAATGAATTTAAATCTTCATTTTTGTTTGGAACCAACATGTTTACAAATTTCAGTAAGCTGTATCTTTGCTAAAAATTGTCCGATTTCGTTGATTTTGTTTTTCCTTTTGTAGGGAATTTAGTATTCTTTTATATAATCACGGGCATAACCAAGGGAAAAGTGTGTAATTTTTTATTTATTCGCAAATAAATTTTGTTTTCTTTTATAACTTTTTTGCCTGAATTTTCGGGGTGATTAGACTATTTTGTCCGCCTGAAGGAGAAGGAAGCCTTCGAAATTGGTGGCTCAATCTTGAAATTTGGTGAAGAATTGACGATGATATGGCTTGCCTATCAAAAACACCATCGATAAATAATATAAACTCCCCCTCTCTCGGTTATAGAGACCTCAAGTCGACGAAATGAGACATGTATTCAATGACAGTACTACAATTAATGTAAGGTTGTGTGGATGCTAACCCTATGCCTTGCGTTATCTCAAAAATAATACGTTTTGGGGCTTAAAAACGCAGGATCCGATAGTTCCAGAGGAACTATCCGGGTCTTGCTGTACGCATCAAATTCTTCTAGATTCAATTTGTCCCGTATCGATCTACAGACCTACCACTGTTCAGGTATTGAAGCCTAGCACAATGTTTGTTTCGGATTTATTTATTTTAGAAAGAAAAACAAAATTGGAGAATACGATTCGCTAACCCCCCGTGAAATTCTGAATCCAACGGTACCCCATTCATGGTATTTTAGCACGACAGGGGCTTATATTTGGTACAAAACCTATTTCGAGTCTTACTGTAATAATATATGTACGGATATTCTAGGTTTATTTTTATTTTGACATTAATAGGTAACAAATTTTCTTCGATATTGTCTACATAATTCTTGTTTATCCACATTGATGTTAAAGGATCTTTGTTTATTTTTTTTTTCAAATATGCATTACTAGTTATAATGCTTGAAATAAGATCGTTATTAACGGTTGAGAGAACATACTTCGAAGGTCGCGTCCCTGAAAGGATTCGTGTCTCCCTTCTCTCCGAACATAGAGCTTCCTTTTTGGGGATATTAGTGACAGATACAATTTTATTTTATTATTTTTCATCGGAATTATTATTAAATTTACTATCAAAACGATGACGTAGAAATCGATATTTTGCTTTATTCTTCGGGGGGAGAGGAGAGAATCTAATCTTTTGATAAGATTTAGTCAATATTCATCTTAAAAATATAAATTATAAATGTACTAGTAAGTCCTCTGAAAGATTTTTTATATATTTTTCAGATGAAAGTTGACGAAATGTTTTAAAATCAGTTTGTCTCTGAAGAATCGAAAATTTGGATACTTTTATAATAAATTATTTTATTAATGGAGACTATTTGGGCCTAAACAACTATCGTAAGATGGGGTGACTTTGGAACTGGGTGGCTAACTTTGGGACAGCTTTTAAAATTTAGTTTGTGGTGATTCCGTGTTGGGTACACTGTGTTGGTTCAGTCAGCAAAAATGTACTGAGCTACTACCTTCAGGCAGTTTGAGAAACCTAGTTTCCTTCGGTTCTGAAAAATGTTTAATTATTTGTTACTATTTGGAGAACTAAGCTCAAATACACGATTCAGCAAGAATATAAACAGCTGTTTAAATTTAATTCAAGGTTATTATATTGAAGCACTTAACTGTACCTTCTTTTTTTTTTTCTCTTACATTTATTTATCCGCATCTGTCAATTATAAACATCAGCAATCAGCAGATGTGCTGGCGTAGTAATGAGAAAAAAAAATTAAAAATAAAATAAAAAGTCTTGAGGAATAGCAATACCCAGCGGCATCCCTTCCATGGCTTTTACTAAAACATTATTTAAGTAGATCTCTCATCCAGATCCTTTTCAGTCGTCTTCTGGAGTCCTCGGGCATACTAGTTATTTCTTTTACCAGCTAGTTGGAGTGTCGGTTTAACTTGTTATGAAGTCGTTTGTAATACGTTTCGTATGTGTTCATTGACTCTCGGAGCGTGTAAGTCGGTGTGTAAAGTGTGGTTGTTCACATACCATGGTGCTTAAGTGATAAGTCTTAGTATCTTGGACTTCAAAGTTTGATTTTTTTTATGTGTGTTGGTTTTGCAATTCCGTATATTTATATTCCGTAATTCCAAAGAGGTTTTAATAGATATGTGTAAATACTTAGTTTCTGTCTTGCTTTTAATTTGGAATGTTGTCTTAACATTGAATGTAACAATTTTAGTCTTAGATTTAATGTGATTCGTTTTTTTTTACATGTGGACCCGATGTCTACTCTACCTTAATTTATAACAATACACCTCAACATATAATGATTAATACAAACATTACTGTTATAACTAACAACTTTGTTGTTAGATGAAAGGAATAGTGATTTTGATGTCGATTCTAGAGAACGTATATTAATTTCATAATTGTGGGTTGATGGTTGACTGTCTTGAATAATGAAGAGAATGATGGTTGGGGTGATCAGTCAGAAATAAAAAGCCAAATAAATAATAATATTTATTTTAACATTTTCCGACGTTTCGACCTGAAGTTCAGGCCTTCATCAGGGCTAAGAAAAGAACCAGATAACGAGATATGAGAAACATAAACAATCGAGGTAAAAAAATAAAGTAAATTGAAGTGGGTAGAATAATGACAAAAACAAGATATAAATATTCCACTTCATTTTACTTTATTTTTTTACCTACATTATTTATGTCTCTCATAACTTGTCATCTGATTCTTTTCTTAGCCCTGATGAAGGCCTGAACTTCAGGTCGAAACGTCGGCAAATTTTAAAATAAATATTATTATTTATTTTGCCTTTTTTATTTCTGACTGATCACTCCAACCATCCTTGAAGATTGAAATCAAATAGTCTTAAGTCTTTAACTTAACTACGAGACGCAAGAATCTGAACGATAAGTCTTGTTCTTGTTCAAATCTTAAAGTGACATTATTTGTCTTGATCTTGCATTTTCTAAAGACCAAGACCGTTTTCGAGTCACTATCACATATAAAGCATAATGGAACTACCATTCCAAATTTCAGCTTCATTTTCATATTTTGAGATACAACGATCAATAAGTCAGTGATGGTATCTTTCTTTATAGTTATATATAGAATTATAATAATTTATCTAGTGTACATTGTACAATTACCATCAATATGCAAACGAAGAAAAAAAAATTAAGTTATACCATCACACTTCAATGGAATAATTGTCCCTCAGAACAATGGTCCGAATGATGTTCGCGACCAGCTTCGGCCTGAAGGTGATCTTGGCACTCGGCGTTGTCCTCATCTTCCTGACCGCCATCAGCCTCTCCGGAGGACGGGACGTCGTCCACCGGAGGGTACGCAGGGACGCGGGACCGCTGAAGATCACCCGCAACGGGACGGATCCTCCGGACACGCTGTGGGCAGAAAGGAGGCGTCACATTGTCCAGGTCAGTATCTTGAGGATATGGTAGGCAAAATATCATGTTACTTGATGTCTCTAAGGAGTTTAAATATCTCTGTAGTTCAGTCAATTAATGCCAAAGATGAGCGTGTAGAGTCCATGGGGAGAGTGATGAAGCATGTGACTTTAGGAATTTTTTGGGTGTAAACTAAAATAAAAGCAAAGCGTGCAGTATGCATGAAGAAGGTGAAGAAGCATTTTACTCTTGCAATTTGTATTTGGTACTTAAGAGATAAGGCTAAAAGCCCCAAATTAAAAAAAAAAAAATTATAAGAAAGGAAGTACTGTCTCTTGGTCAACTGTTGTGTAAGGAAGTGATTCGACCTACATCACGCTCAACTACCCGGCTTTCTTTTAAATAATCATTGGTACAATCAACAAAAAAAAAATGTATACTTTTTAAGTTATACATAAAGTTTCTTTTCCTTTTTTTCTTAACTTTTTTCCTGGAATTTCGGGGGTATGTGGCTAGTTTTCTCACCTGAAAGAGAAGATGATCTTCAAAATAAGAGCTCAATCTTTTGATTTGATGATGAATTTTCGAAAATATGGCGAATACCCGAAAAAAAAAATACTTTTGAGAAATAACGTATAAAAATATTGTTGGAGACATGAATATGAATCGGTTATAAGTAAAATATAAATCCACAATCCATTTATATTACCAGTTTCACCAACCCATTGATGGATCCTATAGGATTATATTTTATCATAAAAATCCATGGATCGAACAATAAAATGACCGATATTAACGCCTTATGTTGTGTGGTATAAAAACCGAACCTGTAGATTTTTATAGAAATAAGCCATAACTGGGAATCATATTTCTTTAGGTGTCTCATTTTCCTTAAATATGTAATACAGTTGAGAGTTGTATCATATTATAGGGTATTTTATTTCATAATATTCTACCTGTAAAGGAGAAAGAAGGTGTTTTTTTCCCCTTTGACATCTCGTATTGCGATCGTGAAAATGTTCTTACCCGAATTTTTATTGGAAAGGCACTTTTTGAGGTCTCTTGAGCCGATGTTAAACCGTCTCTCGTAAGTTGTATCTTTTTTAATACTTTTTTTTGCTTTCACTTACCTAAATATGAAATATATAATAAAGGAAAGTATTGCGATCATGTGGGTGCGTATGTGTTAAGAGTCTAGCTAAAAAACGAAAAGTCGTACGAAAGTGAAATTGCATATTTAAGGTTTTTATATTCTAGGGATGTTACAGCAAATTTTTCGTTAAAATCGGCTAACCGGAAAGGACATTTTATATTATGGACTAAACACATTTTTACGATTTTCTCGAAAACGGCTCTAACGATATCGATTAAATTCATTATTTCAGTGTAAAATAAGGCAGTTTTAAATAAAATGTAGATTTATTCTGATTGATGTTATATGGCAGGGCTTAAACGGCTAATTTTCAATATTAGCCTCTCCTAAAGTATCTTTAATTTTTTTTATCTGAAAAAATTGACCATTTCATATTAATCTTTAATATAAAAATAGTTAAATAGAAAATAGAAAAGAATTTGATAATTACCTAAAGGAGAAATAAGAGATTAAGTAACGGAGGATAGTTGTAATTGAGGAACCAAAGGAATACCAGAGCACCCGAACTCCTCCGAAAGATTAGAACACGCTTCCACTCATAACATCAGCTTAATATAATATGGACTCCGACAATATTACATAAATATGCATATGTAGTTTTCATAAATCCTATTGTTGGTATTATTTAATATTTAATTGTACAGATTACAGGGATATGAATATTAAAATATGTATATAAAAGTATAAAAAGTACTTGTACAAATAAAAATACCCACAATGAAATATAAATAAATACAGCATCTATAATTTTTACTTTCACTTCCCCTTTGTCTGAAAATTCGTTTTTCTGCTAAGAAGAATAAGTTAAAGTTGTGTGATGCACGCATCGCACCAGATTTTTTTCTTTTTTGTTGGAATTATTAGGGTTTTCGTCTATGGAGACCGTCCTGTAATGAAATATTCTTAAGAATAATTACCTAAATAAAAAAAAAAACTAAGTTGTGTGCTCTAGACCACACAGTAGAAAGGAAAACATCAAAAAGACGTGATTAATAATCTGAAAATAAATAATTAAAAAATAGCTCATTATAAAGAGGATGAAATGCTGAACATTTCCCTCGCTTACAGTATGCAGGTCCGATTTTTAGTTTCTGAGATATTTTAATCCATATCTTCAATAAAACTCGTTATCATTTGGTTTTCGACACTATTTTTTCTCTTTTCGCCTCCCTAACACGGCGTCGCGTTAATATACAATTTTTTATAATAGAACACTACAGATAGGATGAAATGGTAACAATATGAAGACCCGATTTTTTTAGTTTGTGTGATATTTTAATCCATATGCAAAAACACTTCAAATAATCGACTCCGGCGAACTTTATCCTAGCGTTACACAACGGAAATCTGACGGCTCAATCTAATTCAATCTCCACAACAAAAAAAAAGTTCAAAACGCGCCTAAAGAAGTTTTCTATTAAAAAAAAAAAAATTTTATTGAAAGTTTGGTGCTAAGTGAAAATTGTGTTATACATCGCACCTGATTGCTTTACTATTATAGTCCGTGGTACGGAAATTCTTAGAATTGGGGCGTTTTCAATCTGGAGGGAAGCAAAGTTTGTCTATTTTTTTAGGTACTAAAAATTCTAAACACGTTTGCTTTCTACTTCAATCGTAAGATGATCTGATCACAAAATCTAAAAAAAAAAGGTAGCCTTCAAAAATATTGAGCCATTTGGCGTGACTTACAGCCCCCAAATTTTCAAAATAACGAGGTTATATAGAACAATTGGCCCAATATTTTTGAAGGCCTCCTTTTTTCACGATTTTGTGATCAAATTATCTTACGGTCAAAGTAGAAAGCAAACGTGTATTTACGAGTTTTTAGTACCTAATTAGATAGTAAAAGTTTTCCTCCCTCCAGATTGAAAACGCTCCAATTCCAAGAGTTTTCGTAAATAAAATATTTGTAGTTTACGATGAGATGAAACTATTTACGAAGTTTCAGGCGGTTGTTAATAATTCAATAAAAAATGGTCTGTACCACGGAGTATATAGCTAAAGGGGAATTATGTATATTTGAATACATAAACACTTTGAAAGCTTACATAACAAGGCCTGTATGGAAAGTGCATTAGGAGGAAATGGCTATACACAATCGAGCCTATTGTACAATTTGGACCTCCAATATTCCAATAACGTTTTCAGCTCCAATAGTTCGGTAGGCTTTGTGTTACAGCAAGGATCTCCGACGCCTACGATTCCTTCCAATTAATTGGCCTTTGAATGCCATACCTTACCTTTTGAGATAAGTTAACTCCGACTTACTAAAGATTATTACTTATATCACCTGTAATAGAATTATGATAATAATATTATTATTGTTATTATATTATACTAGTAGGCCCGTGTGAAAATTCAAACAGTTCAGCGATCAAATAATAAATTAATAAGAAAATAAAACAATAGGACGTATCATAATAGAAATCAATGGTTACTTTCTCCCTAAATATATTCGAAAAAGGAAACAAAAATTAATTTTTAAAATTTTATTAATATTTGGAACCAACATGTTTACGAATTTTAATAAGCTGTGTTTTTGTTAAAAAATAGTCGGATTTGTATGATTTATTTTTTTCCTTTTGTAGGGAATGTAGTAATATTTTATATAATCATGGGGATAAGAGAAGAGTGTGTAATTTTCGAGTTATTCGCAAATAAAATTTATTTTCTTTCATAACTTTTTTGCAAGAATTTTCGGGGTGATTGGAATTTTATTTATCAATAAATGCACACATCCACACACGTGCATTCAACTTAATTCTATTAATTTCCAAATTGTCATTACATAAATTATTAAATAACTAGTAGACCCGTTCGAAAAATTCGCACAGCATATTGTTAAGTGATCAAAAATGCCGAATCAATTCGGTTTTCGTACATTTCATTCAACTACACACCAATTACACAGAGTTACAGACTACATTGCTGGAGCTTTAGAACAAAAACTATATGCAACTGGAGTATTTTTGGATGTTGCTCAGGCGTTTGATAGAGTCTGGCACCAGGGTCTTCTCTTTAAACTTAAGACTATACTTCCATACACGTACTATCTTATCCTTCAATCTTTCCTCTTCGATAGATTTTTTTCAGTTCGGCAGGGCTCGGAAGTGTCTTCAGTCCGTCCAATCGTCCCCAAGGTTCAATACTAGCCCCTCTACTTTACGTTATATACACTTACGATATACTTATTGACGATGAGATCTTGACAGTTACATATGCAGACGATACAACAATCCTCACAAAACATCAAGACCCTGCACAGGCCTCACTAACTCTACAACATCATTTGCTTAAACTACAAGATTGGTTCACACTATGGAAAATTCGACTTAATCATGACAAATCCAAACATATAACATTTACTCTACGAAAAAAACACCTGTCCTCCAGTTTATATTGACAACAATCAAATTCCTCAAACGGACACGGTACTTTACCTTGGACTCACCTTCGACAGAAGGATGACATGGGGCCCACATGTTAAAATGAAGTGTATGACACTTAACAAACGACTCAAACTACTTTACTCTCTTTTTGCCAAATCTTCAAAAGTAAAACTAAAACAGAAACTGAATACATATACATACTTACTTTAGCCCATATGGACGTACTCATCACTAAAGAGAACTCCTAACCACCTACAAAAACTTCAAACGTTCCAATCAAAATTATTGCGACTCATAACAAAAGCACCTTGGCACTTTCCAACAGTTGACCAACATATAACGACCCTTTATCAACGATTTTACGCAAATTTAAATGGATATAATAACAGACTAATAAGAGACATGGCCACAGCTGACATACCTCAGAACATGAGCACAGGAGACTAAAAAGGTGTTGGATGAGGGATCTCCTTCCTTAGACAACCTAA